GCCATCCGGATGGACAGGAGGCGCCGTCCGACTGCCGCTGCTTGGGGCGGTTCCCGGTGGATCTTTTTGATGAATTTTTTTGTGCATGTTCCTCATCAAGTCTAGTTTATCCAGAGAAAATTTCAGCTGAAAATTCGATTGGGAAGGAAGTCAAATAAAATTTTCAAAATATCTGCGTTTTATATGTATAATTTAGCGCGATTATCTTCAAAAAATTATTTGACTGCCTCCCCGATTGAAATTTTAGTTGAAATTGTTTGGAAAAACTAGACTTGATGAGGAACATGCTCAAAATATTTCATGATAAGGATAACTAGTAGCATCAAACTTTAAGATGCCAACAAAGCGATTAACCGTGATTCTTGATAGTAACAAAAGTGTTCTTATAAGCGAAAAAATCGGTTGCGCAATATCTTGAGATGAATGTGGGTAATCGACTAGTGCATGCATTGATCCTTCTCTTGATCTCCTATATCCGAGGCCAGCATCTCTAATGTTGTGCGACCAGACCTAATAGACATTTGTAGAAATCTCTATTATCCACCTCAAGAATAAATTTATTCAAATTTATCTTCTTGACATTGAGAATAGTTTCTTTGATGGCATCATACGTGGCTAAAGTGGTGTCACTATCGAGAGTAATGTAGGTCATATGGCCCATGTAGCTGCCTGATACATTGCGAATAAGAGCCGCTTTTCTAATAAGTTGAGGAGTGAGTAGCCTAGTGGCAATGTCGATATTATGGTAGTTAGGTGGCGGTTTCCCCCCAATATTTAAGCTCAAGGCTAGCATTACGTTGGAACTAGAAACCAGGACCACCCTATTCGGTTCCCAAAACTTGGGACCAAGATCGCCTGGTCCGGTCCCCAAAACCCGGGACCAGGACCGCCCGGTCTGGTCCCCAAAACCCGGGACAAGGACCGGCCTGTCCGGTCCCCAAAACCCGGGACCAGGATTGCCCAGTTTGGTCCCCAAAACCCGGAATCGGGACCGTCTGGTACCCGTTGGGGTACAGAATCATGCATCGGGACCAGCTTTCCGGTTTTGATTCGGTCCGACGTAGTACCTGACCCGGTTCCTTACCGGTCCAAGACCGTCGACAGAGTCCACCCGTAGGACGGACTAGCTGATCTCGGTCCGTCACACTAAGATTGTCACATATCAAATTTGGCAAAGTTTGTGCGGCTTTAAGTCATTTTTTATACTTACTTTATCAATTCAATATCAATTACTTACGCAACATTTTATTGGTTTGCATGTCACTCCCTCTTGTCTCATAGTTAGTGGGACGAAGGGAGTAATACATTAAAGAAACTCAATTATCTAAGTTGCCCTTATTATTATTATAGCAAGACAATCACTTTGACCGCAGGAAATGCCTGGGAAGCAAAATGTGTACTTGCTTCAGTCACTAAGCAACTGCAGCAACTACTGAGAAATTGACATTGGAGCTGTGTAACTTCAAAATAGCAGCAAACGAGGAATTATTCCAGAGTTTTCATTGTACAACCGTAACAAATCCATCAACTAAAAGTGGTTGCTATCTTTGCCTGCTTCATCAAAACTATCATTCATTATAAGCTAAATCCCACACAAATGGGCTTTTTACACCAAAACCACAACTTATATGGAGTATAATGCACTATGTTACCAATACAAATAACATATTTTAACTCAAGAGAAACTCACATATCACAAGTCTATATATCAAAAAATGGACCCCATTCCCAAAATAAGAGAAAACAATTCCAACACACAGAGACAAATTGGGTAAAATACACCGTACAGCCGGCTGTACCGTGCACACAGATCCAACTTCGCACCATGCAGCTTTTCCGATCTCATTTGGTTCTTCGATCCGGCTTCACACCTGGTTGACTATCGCCAATGCTCACCACTCATCTCTTTCTCTTCCAGTTCGTCGCCGCCGCTCATCGTTCATCCTCTTCTCCTCTAGCACGGAAGCTCTAGCACGGAAGCTGCAGATCTGTCAGCTTAGTTACCTCTCCCCCCTCTGTCTTTCTTTTCACTCTTTTCCTTTTTCTTTTTTTCTTATTCAGTTTTGCTGTTTGAGATTGTGATTTTGGAAGACAAAGAGAGCCCACTACAGACAAAGGAATCCTTATTGCTATTCATCTCAATTGAGTTTTATATTAAACTCAAATGAGTATACACATAAAAGAAATTAGCATACACAATTGAATATTAAACACATTGAAAATGAGTTTTATATTAAACACAAATGAGTATACGCATAAAAGAAATGAATATACACAACTGAATATTAAGCACATTAGAAATGAGTTCTATGTTAAACTCAAATGAGTATAACGCCCAAAATCAATGAGCATACACAAATGAGCTTTAAAATTTTGTGATAGTCATTTTGTAAATTATGTATGCTCATTTGGTACATTTGTGCTCATTTTAAAATGTTGCACATATCAAACCTATCATACTATATTAGATTCACATATTGAAATTAATTACAAACACAATTTAAGATTTTTTTATAAACGAAAAAATAATAAAGAAACTGAATTAGAAGATATGAAGCAGAGATCACTGGTGCTCATTGTTAGACTTCTAATACTCAAAAGAACAAACTCAATGCTCATCCAAATTACACCGATGCTCATTTAAGAGATTTTCACTAAAATTACAAAACTGCCACCAACTGTATGATATACGCTTCCGACAAATTGGGACAACAATAGAGATAGGGCGGAAGCTACTCAAGATGCCTCAATACCAGGGCGACCATGGTTAGGAGGAAGAATGCAACAAAGGCAAGGGTAAACGACCATGGTTGGAAGGAAGAATGCAACAAAGGCAAGGGTAGACGACCATGATTGGGAGGAAGAATGTGTAACAAAAACGGGGCGGGGGGGATGTAACAAAAGCAAGGGTAGGGCACTGGCTACAGGCACAGGCAATGGCCGTTGGAGTGAACAACAAAGGATACGGGAAATTCTGAAAGTCAATGCGCATAGGTAAAGAGAAAAGTTTTTGGTTTTGTGCTGAATCCTGAATAATCACCGTTCCAAAAGCACTTGACAAAGACTCTGTGTCGAACCTCTTTAGTAATAAAGGCAGGATAGAAATTATATGCACAATTTTATTTTCACAAAAAATTATGTGTGATTAGTAAATGAAGGGTTGTAAATAGAATTTCCCTTTCCGCAAACACCTTGCCTTCTTTGGGCCTACAAGTGTCCCATTTGGACAATGAGTTTGTTATATGTGACGAAGAAGGGAAACCAACGAAGTCAGCGTTGAATGTAATATACAAAGAAGTTTATACTAATTTATAGTTCCCTTCCTTTACATACATGCATACTCATTGCTACGTATATCGTATCATGATTTGTATTGAACATTATTTTTTAATTTGATATTAAATATGAATACTTATTTTATTTTATGCTTTAATTTGATTATTTTGTTTTAGTTTTTACTTTTATGTTTTGAGTTAGGTTAATTGACTATGAAATTCTTTGAGTTTATGTATGACTGATCCAAACATCTTCGTATAATGTAAATAGCCTGTTGGCAAGAAGCATAGTAAGAATGAAGTTACTAGGAGTATTAATTCGTTTATTTGGAATATGAGTGCAAAACAATGGAATATTGTGCTTTAAGATTAAAATGTCCTTTTACAGTAGCAATAAGCTAAAAAATCTTATTGATTATTCGCCTATTCCTGCCCGTTATCACCTAATTCATTCACGACATCGAAATAACCCATCATCTTCAAAATCAGGTCAATTAAACCACATCAAAATATCAAATGGGTCCCAAGTTCAAGATTACCCTCATTTCTAAAAACATTATATTTGTGAACAAAGGTTTGTACCCACCATTTGTGTCAATACACTGCACGCATAAGGGATTGTACATTGCTATTAAAAATTTGTACTCTACTTTTCGAACTGCCTTATGTACCCACACGTCGTCATAACACTAACCTTCTTCCGTTACGTCTTTTATACACTCCGTACATGCATATACCAATTACCAATAGCAAAGTACTAGAAAGTAGAAACTCCACTGAAAACCTTGAAGACTTGAATTCCTATATTTTCCTATGTTTTATTTTGCTACCATATTAGCGCATCAATTCATAGAGCCCGTTTGGTAGCACCAAAATCGGCTGATTTGGCTATTTCTGCTGAAATTTATGAAGTTTTGGCTGAAGTGGCTGCATTGGCTGATTCTGTTGATTTAAGAAAAAATTATTTTTAAAATATATTTTATTAATAAAATAAAGAAAAAATTATATGTAAAATAGCTAAAATGGTCATCTACAGTAACTTCAGCCAATACAGCCAGAAAAAGTAACTCCAACCTTACTTTTTCTGCTTATTACACAAGCCAACGCATAAAAGTAAAAGTTACGTGTTTGGTGAAAAAGTTGGCTGATAAGACTGATAAGCCGAAAAACAGTGGTTCCAAACAGCCTCATAATGTCATTTAGGCTTGCAAAAATATTGGTGTAAAACCACATCTTCATAATTAGAGGGTTTTCTAAAATATTAAAATGGGAGAGACTAAATCCTTTGTGGTCAATACTTTGTTTTTCTGATTTTAATTAACATTTTAGATGTATTGTATTTGTTTTTAGAGGGTTTTCTAAAATATTATTAAAAAAAATCTATGGATAAAAGTGTGCCTGAATGTTATTATGAATAAATTATACTCACTAAAAGTTACTAGATCACATATTTGTTGACTACTTTTATTTTGTTTATATATTTGGATTTTTTTAAAATTTCAAAATTTTTCTCATTCTATTCCCTTACTATTAAGGATGTTTTTACTTGAATTGTTTTCATTTCCAAACCAGACCAGATCAAATCAGACCTGATTTGGATGGTTATAAAATACAAAGACCAGGCGTTTACCAGATCAGACCAGAACAAAAAAATTCAGTTCAAGTAAAAAAAATCTAAATCGACGACTTTATACGGAGCTTCTTAGAGATGAGTTGGTTGTGGAAAAAAACATGAAATGTGTCACATGTAACATGCAATAACCATACATGAGTACATTGGAAAAGAATATTAATTCATTCATTATATATTGGGCATTGGATCTCGCGCATTGCGCGTATGAAGCGCTAGTTTATGAGGATATACATCAATGTACAACAGGTTTTCTTTTTGGTAACTGATCATAGATGATTGAATTGCATAATAAAATGATATTGTAGGACCAAATGCAGGGTTGATGGAACTTGGAAGGGTACAGCAAAACTCAAAACTAAAATGGCCTGGCAGCTTCTTCAATCATCTTCTTTAGCCTCAAGAGCTTACTTATCTCCTTCAGAACCTAATATCATCATAAAAAGGATGGAAAGAAAGTCACCAAGTTTTGTCTCCAAATAATTAGTCACTAGTACGCTTACTTCAAAAAAATAGTAGGTGGAGAAAGGGAACACCTCCAAACACAACTCTTCAGTACTTACTGAACACAGATCCTCATACCCCAACCTGGAAGCTACTTCTGCCAAAGAAAAAATGTGTCACATTCTATGTAGGGGTGGCAGCGAGTCGAATTATACCGGATGGAGGCTCATCCACGTCCACCCATTAATTTATTTAGTTTATATTACAAAAGGCACTAAGAATATAAGTAGGTTACAGGAGTTCAATCATATCAAGACCAAAGAGTCGTGCCATGAAGAAATGTGACTCTTTCTTTAGGGGTTTTGGCCTCAATATTACTAAAAATTAGATAAAAGACAAAAAAAAAGTGACCTTTTTGTTTTATTTCCAAAAAAGTGACTAATATCACAGTTACATTCCTCCAGTTACATCCTCAAGTGACGAATTTACTCCGGTCAGCCACAGTGACTCCGGCCAGCCAACATCAACCACAGTGACACCTTCACAGTGACTTTGGCCAGCCACGGTGACACCTTCACAGTGACTTCGGTCCGCCACAGTGACACCTCCACAACATGGTAGTCAAACTTGAGATCCCACGTAGGATCGGAAATTGGAATAAGGATCGTGACTCAGATAGTAAGATCCTACAAAATATACTTACATATGCATACACATGTGTGTGTGTATATGTACATATGTATACATATAGTTAGAGAATAAATATAATTGATAAATAATGATCAAAGTAGATGTTTATAACATAATATCAAATATTTTGGGTAATTAAAGACTTGAAACAAAAAGAGTAATAACTCCTAATTATATAATTAAACATCTAAGACATAATTCTCTAAGTTAAAATCATAATCTTCCAAAGAATCGTCATCCCCTCTTCCTCCATCATCCAAATCACCCACATCCAAATCAAACACGAGTCATCTCTTGATCCTCTCCAAGTGAGGGTGAACCATCTTCATTCACAATTGGGTTGTCCACAACTAAGTTGTCAGCATCTACACCTCTCCAATAGCATCTTCCATAATCCACTCATCGTCAAATGAAAGATCATCGAGTATGAGCTGAGATGATTTCCTTGCCTTTTTTCGTTTTGCCATCTTTGAATTAGTCATAACGATTTCTTCTCTTTGTGTGGACCTAATTAAATAGAGATTATGGAAAACAAAATAAATATTTATCACCAGCACCAGACCTCAGTCGCCTCAACCCCAACCTCCAACCTCCAGCCACCACCGCCGTCACAGCCAACACCACCGGTTACCACCGTCGTAACCACCATCATAATTCGTAACCACAAGTCACAACCACTGACGGTCACCACCAGCAACTCTGATCATCAATGACCTCCGCCACTCCGGTCACCACCAGCACACCCCGCTCTGCCCCTGCCACTACTGCTTGCCGGTTCCCCGCTGATCCCCAGAAACCGGAAGCCACCGCTCCTCCACCCGACCCTAACAAGAAACCCTAGCTTCCAGGATCTGGAAATCTGCAGATCTATTTAGGATTTTGAGCGCCGGCAGTCGAGACTCCATCTAAGACGACAACAATGGAGGTGCTCCAAAGCGGCGACAATAGAGTTATATACGAGAAGAAAGGAGGAGAAGAAGATTGGCGGCGGCAGCTCTGTCAGAGAACGCGAACTGTGAGCAGCGGCGGCTCTGTCGGAGACCACGAAAGGCCGTGTGCAGCGGCATCTGGCTCTGTGTCACAAAGAGGACCTGGAGCTAAGGTATATCTCCTGCCTCCTAGAGCGCAGGTGCGAAGGTGAAGACGATCGGGAGAAGGCACTTCTCACAAGCAAACAGGTGCTGGGTTGGGCTTTTCAAATATTTTTAATCACTTTTTCAATTTTTTGTCCAATTACAAATTAGTCATATTTTTGTCTTTTACTCAAACTCTTCAAGTAATATTTGGGCCATTATTTCTTCTTCTTTTTTAACTAAGCAAGTATCGATTTTGCAAAGGGACATTAGCTATAATAACTAAACTCATTGTCCCTCACTTTCATGCAAGTGGATGAAACCTATGATGATGTCGGTTTTGGAATTTCATTTCATTGTTCTTTCCTTCGAAGGAAGGGTATTTAACAAGAAAGTCTGACACTAATTTTTGTAGGAGCTGGGTGTTGAAATAGTTCTAAACATTAATTGATCTGACACTATAAATTTCATTTCACTGACCTCATAGAAGTTGGATTATGATGATGATGATGATGATAAATATATAATAAATAAAACAAAGAGTCCTGGGTTACTTGTGAGTGAGACAGTTGCATCAGCTGTTGCATATCCACTCCGCCTTTCTTCCAAAAGGGAAGCCATCTGAGCCAAAACCTGTCACACAAAAACTGAAATGTTCAAGAACTCCACAAAGTTGATTAATGTTAGTGAGCAATGATGTAAATCTCCTAAATATCAAAGCAAACAAACCCGCATTTAATATAACAATGAGTTGTACGCTCTAGACCTCAGAATAAGATTCTCCAGTCATTGAAAGTTCAAATGCAGAGAGTTGAACTTTATCTTCCACAACCTCCCTGGCTACCAACTTTAAAGGAACATCGATCCATATAGATATTCCATGCCTTAAAAGTGCCCTATAATATTGGTCAATTAGGAGTAAATAAGGGAACAAGTGACCAACCATTCCTTTAGGATATGTTTAAAACCCTGAAAGTTCTAGGAAAGGAAAAAATGCAAAGGAAAAATACTTTCTTGTGTTTGGTTTTACCACGGAAAAAGAAGGAAGATTAAAGTTTCTAAATTTTCACACTATCTTTACATTTTATAACCTTTATATGGCAGAAATAAATGAATAAAACAAAGAAACAAAACTTGAATAAATCAAAAGAGATTGAACAAATGCTTTATTTTGCCCCCTATTTTCTTTCCATCAAAATCTCCCCTATATGTTTCTCTCCATTTTCATTTCCTAGCATTTTCCGTGTCTCCAACGGGTCCGTGAGTTATGAAAAGAAAATGAGCATTAAGGCAGTGCTCATACAGATTTGTTGAACACCGAACTGCACCACTTCCAGCAGAAACAAGAAGCCGACCCATGGACGACAACTGCCTCAGCACCTCTGTCTGTACAGGATTGTCATCACAGCAATGTGTTAAATTGAGTCTAAATCATGCCAAAGATCATCAAAAAATTATGTTTAACTTGCACACATCAGTTAAATTCAGTAAACAACATGTACTTTATACTAAATACTATAGCAAATACACAACCATCAAATGGGAGGGGACCATAGTTATCATTGCGCCACATGGCGATACAAAGCCTCCTCGCCACAAAAATCCCCCCTGGCGATGACTCTACACCGTAGCGTCACCATATTGGTGTCATCACTGTCGCCACACCATGGGCGCCATATTTTTACACAGACTTTAACAGGTTTACTTAATTACTTTTCGTCTTTGTCCCTGATAATTATTTAGCTAACCGGTCAGCCCATAATATTAATAAAATCCCTATAAGAAGCAAATAAAGACACCAGCTAACGTAAAGCCAGAGAAATGTTTTACCCGTAATGAGTTATGGACTCCATAATATATCAAATCGGAGGTATTCAGAGCTCTACATTCTCGAACTTTCGGGGGGGGGGGGGGGTCGGGTGACCACTCAGACCCCCCCCCCCCCCCCGGATCCGCTCGTCACAATAGCTGTTTTCCACTAGTGAATGTTTCGTTGTTTCTCGTAAAACACTTTCAGCCGCAAGACAAGTAAAAAGTAAGAACTCACCATCTAACATAAAGCTGCACAAGATGAGGATGACTAAAGGGAAACAACAACACCTGATTTACACATCAGCCGCAAGATGAAGATGAGATGTATGAGAATATGAGATTGAAGATCCTTTCGAGAGTCAAATGAATGAGTAAGACATTCTATTGTTATCAAATTCAGATCTGGATAATGATGATGAGTGTGATAAACTGATTATTGAAGATGATTATATCATAATCATCAAGCAAAATCAAGTAGACACATTTAGGAAGACACCACTTTGAGTGGACCTCCTGGGATGGGCTGGTCTTTTTTCGCCACAAACTGTTTTTCTTCCTGAATCAACCATAATACCTACACTTCGTCCACCTTCCACGGGATGGCATTGATAAAACTCTCCAACGGCTATGACGAGAATCCTATTAGTCCGGTATGAAAATTTATGTGGCAACTTACATACGAGACTGTCAGAGATGTCAACAACACCAGTGGTTAAGCTTACAACCACGAGCCTACTCCCACCGCTTCCAATTCTGGAACAGGTCTGGCCCAGTGATGTCAATAGCACATAATAGTGTCGGGGCGGAGTGGTAGCTGTTAAGTAAGGTATTGTTATTCTGCATGCAAGTGAAATAGTGAAGGAAAACATAAAATTACTTGAAACCGATCCCAATGTAAACGTTGGTTCCTTAAGGCGTTTTTGCCCGACACATGTAGCAAACGCCTCCCAGGATAGAGCGGTTCTTCGTTCCCAACGGTTCTCTGGCGAACTCAAAGATGCAACAAAGCAAGAGTGAATATGGAGGAATTGTTTGTTGATTTTCGGATGTCCAAAACAGTACACCGAGAGGGCATTTATGGAGCTCTAGCCAGGAGACTCTAACCCAAAAGACATATCTTAAAAGAAAGAGCATGAGCTTTCTTTCAAGGAGAAAAGTTGTATCTTTTCTGGTTAATGGACTTATCCGAAAATATATATAAAATATAGCAAAAATACAATCTCTAGTCCGCGGACTGTTGAACACCCGGACTTAACCAGTCAAAGACCCGAATCTGACCTGGCTAGACAGACAGCGGCAGCGCGCGTGTGAAGAGTTTATTCCACGCTTACCGTATCATATCTCACCGCACAACAAAACTTCGGTGTCTTAATGGTCCAACCTAATAGTTAAGGAAAGCTTATAAAAGGGCACTTTCTTAACTCTCCATTTTCGATGTGGGATAAAGTCAATTCCGAAACTGGTTTTTAGGCAAGTTTGGGGAACAATTTTTACACTTCAATATATGTTTGCGATCACCTTTCGGAGTACTATTCATTAGGACTTGGTCCTGCCACAAACGAGTTATGGGCCCCTTAACTATTTTAGCTCAAAGGTGGCCATTATATTCAAGTAAACCCATTTTTTCAACAGTAGCCTGGCGCTAGAAGACTCTTTGTAGCACAGCAGTTGGTTGTTGCAGTAATAGTGGCCGCTATAGCGAAGGACATGGCAGTAGTTGTTGCGGACGCTATAACAGCGCTACTGAAATTTGAATGGTTAGCACACGATAATTTGGGTATTTTTGGTTTTTATCAGTTTTTGTTAGACAGACTTATAGTTAGTCGGTTATAAGTTTGTTAGCTTGTTCTCATTTACAGTTGACTTAGTTTAGTCTATTGAGCTGAGCTTTGTAAGACCTAGCAAGTCTATAAATACTTTGTATCATCTTCTTCCATCAATAAGATCAGTTTACATTTCTTCTCTTTCCATTTCTAATATGGTATCAGAGCTCTGCTCGATCCATCAATGGTGACCACTTCAGATTCAACTTCCAATTCTACTGGAGCATCTCCGACTCCAGTAACCTTCACACATCCTCTTCCAGTAAAGCTAGATTCAACCAACTATCTTTTCTGGAAACATCATGCTGAATCGGTAGTTCGTGCTCATAAACTGCTCCGATTTCTTTTTAAACCTGCAATTCCAGTTCGTTTTCTCAATCGCGAAGATGAGAACAATGGAATCGAGAACGAAGCATATGTTATTTGGGAACAACAAGACCAAATGCTATTCTCATGGCTTCTGGTGTCTCTATCTGAAACATTTCACGCTAGGGTTATTCATTGCAGACATTCGCACCAACTATGGATTGAAATCAACAAATATTTTCACTCGCACATCCTTGCTAAAGCACGACTACTCAAATCGGAACTGTACAATACCTCTAAAAGTGATCGATCAATCTCAGCCTATCTTCTTCGCATACAAAATATTGTGGATAACCTAACTGCAATTGGAGAAATTATCTCAGCCATAGATACAGAATTCGCTGAGATACCCGCGTTTCGCGTACCGGATCGCGCGTACCGGATCGCGGTACATTTGCGTGCCGGTCGCTTCTGGTCACGACTTCGGTACGGAAGTTTCAGGTCGCAGTTCGCTGGTCTCTCCGCCGCAGGTCGCTGACGCTGGTCTCTCCGCCGCAGGTCGCTGACGCTGGTCTCTCCGCCGCAGGTCGCTGACGCTGTTCTCTCCGCCGCAAGTCCTTTCTTCGCCGTTTGTACTGTCGCTCGTTTTATGGTATTTTAGATCTGGACTCTGTTCCTTTACTCTGCGGCCCTCTCACTCTTTCTTTTGGCAAACCGTTCTTTTTTCCTTTTTTTTTGTTTTTTCCCAGTGAGTTGACTCCAGCGACTACTAATTTTCCATCATTTTTGAACTACGCAGTATTTTGTGTGTGTGATGATTTTTGAACTACACACTATATGCTCTTTTAACAACTGATTTTTTTATTACTTTATTAATATTGAATACTTATATTAAATAAAAATTTAAGTTTATCAGATTTAGTTTTTTCAGTTTATGAATTGGGAACAATTGGAATTTGGAATGTTACATTAATTGTTCAATAGTCCATATTATTAATATTATATTTCTACTTTTAAATTCAATATGTTTAGCGGTACACCGTAACGTAATCAATGGTACAACGTACCGCGTACCGAAATAGCGTACCGAAGAAGCCTACCCCCTCGCGTACCGGATACACTGGATTTAGCGAACCCCGTTCCCGATCCTCGTTCCCGTACCGGAGCGTTCCACGAACTATGTGACTATGAATCTCAGCCAAGGATAATGTTAATGTCATTCTGGAAGGACTTCCTGAAGAATACGAATCCCTAGCTTCATCTATATCCTCACGAAGTGTTCTAGATCCTATATCTCTTTCGGAAGTTGAATCTCTCTTATCTGCTAAAAAAATGCGTCTACAGAAACTTCGCGATTCCTCACAACAAGCCTTATTCTCTGCAAACATTGCTCGTCTGGAGACATCTACTCAAAATACTGAGTCCGCTTCTCAAATTCCTGTAGAGAATTCTTCAGATAATGCCTTTGTACAACTTGCCCAGTTCAACAATTCTGAAAACCACTCCTATCGAGGCAGAGGTCGTGGTGGTGGTCGTTCTGGTGGAAGAAATCATGTAGTTTTCCAAGTCGGTGGCAAAAGTGGTCACCATGCCCTAATATGTTACCATCGCTATAATCCAGCCTACACTGTTGTTAGGAACCCGGCCCAATAGAGTAATTGTTAGGGACCCGGCCCAATAGTGTATTAATAATAAGAAGTGTACAAGTTGAGTATAAGTATAATAAGCTGGGGGCAGGTAGAGGAGGCTGTTTAGACGTTTACTCTGGGACTTGGGAAGATCGAGAACTATTCTCTTTCTTTGGGGGGCTTCGGCTCAGTTTGGGGGCTTCGGCCAGTGTTACTGATTCATCGATAATAAAGTTGCTTTGTTTTTCTTGATTCTGTTTTACAATTTCTCTTAGAATTGCTGTGATTCCTGGTGGTCTCTATCAATTGGTATCAGAGAACGTTGATCGCTAGATGACCTTTACGCGTGCTAAAATGGAAGGACGAATGACGGAATTGGAGAAGAATCAATGGGAGATGCAAGCGAGGATGGATAGAAGTCTGCGGGAGTTACAGACTAATATGGCGGCTAACCTGGCGGATAGTCTGGCCGCGATGCAAACGGCGATGCAGGCAACGATGCAAGCTAACATCGCTGAATTGCAAAACAAAATCTCAAGTCGATCGAGGAGTCATTCGCATCACTCTAGTTCGTCACATCGCACTCATCAGCACAAAAATCCGAAGAATCAGGACAGTTCAGAAGGATTGGACAATCACTCTGATTATTCTTCCTCGCGACATGATCGCGATCATCGCAATAACAATAGACATCGTCATCATCATGTTGGCCGGAAAATAGATCTACCTATTTTCAATGGTGAAGATGTCTTCGGTTGGTTAGTCGGGATAAACCGATACTTCCGATTGAATAAAACCGAAGAAGAGGACAAAATTGACACTGCAGTTGTCGCCATGGAAGACCAGGCTCTGAGCTGGTTTCAATGGTGGGAAGGACAAGCACATCGTCAGACTTGGGAGTCCTTTACAAATGCTCTGACCAGACGCTTTCAACCAGATATGGTGCAAGATCCTTTGGGACCGTTGTTCAGTTTGAAGCAGAAGGGAACTATGAGGGAATATAGAGACAAATTCGAAACTGCCATTGCATCTCAGGGACATCTTACCGAAGAAGTATTGAGGGGAATTTTTCTCAAGGGGTTAAAAAGGGATATAAGAGCTGAATTGAAATTACATCCTACAAGGACCCTAGCTGAAGTCATGGATAAAGCCTCATTGATTGAGAATAAGAACAATGAGGCCAACATCATAAAGAATAAAGATGATGGAAAGAAGAACTTGAAAATAAATTCAGCAGGTGGACAGAGCTATCATAAATGGGGAGATGGTAGTAGAAGTAGTTATAATCTGACATCCACAAATCAATTGACGAAAAACTCAGATGAAGCTGGAAGAAGGATCAAGTTCTGTTTCTAACAAGACAAGCCCCAGATTATCACAGAATGAGCTGCAAGAAAGAAGTAAGAAGGGTTATGTTTTAAATGTGGTGAAAACTGGAATCGGGGTCACATTTGTAGAATGAAAAATTTTAAAATGATGCTGGTAGAACAATCTGAAGGGGAGGAGGAATCTGATGCTGACTATAGTAAAGATAAAGAGGAAGAAGGAATTCTTATGAAAGCTAAGACTATGCAATTATCTGTGTTGAACAAAGAAGGAACACCACCCATGAGAACATTCAAAGTCCTGGGGAATCTGAAATGGCTGATTGAGGAAAAGAAGGTGAATATTTTGATTGATTGTGGAGCTACTCACAATTTTATTTCACAGAAGATTGTTGAGGAATGGAAGATACCTTTTAATTGCATTAAGGGGAATAAAGTGCAGATAGGGAATGGAGAATTTCTTCCCAACTATGGTAGGTGTGATGGGTTAACAGTGGTTGTACAAGGAAATGAAATTCTGCAGAAATTTTACATTCTGCATTTGGGGGGAGTTGATGTAGTGCTGGGAATGAACTGGTTAACTGGCCTAGGGGATATGGCAGTTAATTTTCAAAATCACCATCAAATGGGAGGTGCATGGGCAGAAGGTTAGTATACAAGGAGATCATCAGCTAGGAATTAATAAAGAGATGAAGAGCCTAGTAAATAAGAGTGGAGAAGTAAAATTGCTGAACTATCATGAGTTATCTATTGATATTGAAGAAGAAAGTGTTCAAAAGCAAGAAGTTGCTGTCCTCGGTGTTGCAGCAGGCTGTGACTTCACCTCCACAGAATCTGAAAGAATCAAATTGCTGGATAAAATGTCCTGGAAGCAGTGTAAATCTGTTTTGAAAGGCATAGGGAAGAAGATGGAAGCAGCCAAGCTAAGGATCCAGAAATCCATCCAGTATTGGAAAGGGAGAGGTGCTAGGATGAAGGAAAAGAAGAAGATTGTGGCGGTGTCCTATCACCCACCTTGAGGGCAAGGTGGATGTTTAGGGGGGGGGTATTGTTAGGAACCCGGCCCAATAGAGTAATTGTTAGGGACCCGGCCTAATAGAGTATTAATAATAATAAGTGTACAAGTTGAGTATAAGTAGAATAAGCTGGGGGCAGGTAGAGGAGGCTGTTTAGACGTTTACTCTGGGACTTGGGAAGATCGAGAACTATTCTCTTTCTTTGGGGGGCTTCGGCTCAGTTTGGGGGCTTCGGCCAGTAACCTGTTACTGATTCATCGATAATAAAGTTGCTTTGTTTTTCTTGATTCTGTTTTACAATTTCTCTTAGAATTCCTGTGATTCCTGGTGGTCTCTATCAACTGTACCCAATACCTCTTCATCAAACTCATCTAATCAGTACTCACAATATTCAAACCCTTCATTCAATCCACATTCACAAAGGCCACCATTATACAACACAAATTCTACCAATCCAAACATTTCAGGACCACCTACACAGTTTGCCAATTGGAATCAGCAACCCTATAATCCTCCATACAACACTTCACCTCCTCCTGCTTCTTACAATCATCCTGCAGTCTACAATCATCCTGCCCCCTACAACCCTCCTTCCAATCCTTCACCCAGTGCTGCTTGGGCTTGTGCTACTCCATCAATTCTGGGACTTGCACCACAATCTCAAACTTGGTTCCCTGATTCTGGTGTCACACACCATGTTACAGCTGATCCTCTTAATTTACAGCACAGTGAGACTCTTGCTTCTACTAATAAGCTCTTTATGGGCAATGACCAAGGTGTGGACATTAAGTCTATAGGTTTTTCTACATTTCCTTCTCCCTATCAATCATCCCTGCAGCTTTCCATTAAAAATATTCTTCATGTTCCTTCAATTACTAAAATCTCCTTAGTGTTAGTCAGTTTGCAAAAGACAATAATGTCTTCTTTGAATTTCATCCTTATGATTGCTTTGTCAAATCTCAGGTTTCTAAGTAAGTTCTCTTACATGGTTTCCTTGGAGAAGATGGTCTTTACAAGTTTCAGTCCATTCCTCTTCAATCAGTCCAGTCTGTTGCACCAGTCCAGTCTGCCAGTGTTGCATCATCACCTAATAGTGTTCTAAAATCTTGTAATAATTCCAAATCTTGTAATGTTTCTCAAGTTTGTAATCTGTGGCACTTAAAACTAGGTCATCCTCATTTTGAGGCATTGAAAACTGTTCTCCAACTATGTAATATCCCTCATATCAATAAAAATAGTGTTGATTTTTGTTCAGCATGTTGCCTTGGCAAAGCTCACAGATTACCATCATCTAATTCTACCACAATTTTCAATTCACCATTTGAACTCATTTGATGGTTATACATACTATATCTCTTTCATAGATGCATGTACCAGATACACTTGGCTCTATTTTCTTAAAAAGAAATCTGATGCCCTTCTTGCCTTCACCAACTTCTATCAATATATTCTTAATCAATTCTCTGTTTCCATCAAATCTATACAATCTGATTGGGAAGGTGAGTTCAGATCCTTTACCAAATTACTTTCTGAAAAAGGAGTTACTCATAGACTCATTTGCCCTCACACACACCATCAAAATGGTGTGGTTGAACGCAAACACCGCACCATTGTTGAAAAGGGACTGTCCCTTCTTGCTCACTCATCTCTCCCTCTCAAATTATGGGATGCAGCATTTGCTACTGCTGTTCATCTCAGTAACAAGACACCTTCAAAATCTCTTTCTAACTCCAGTCCGTATTTCAAGCTCTATGGCTCCATTCCTGACTATTCCTTCTTAAAAGTGTTTGGATGTTCTTGCTATCCTTTCATGCGTCCATACAACAAGCATAAAATGGATTTTCATTCTGAGGAATGTGTGTTCATAAGCTATTCCTCAAATCATAAAGGTTATAAATGCTTATCACCCTCTGGCAAGATATATCTCTCTCGAGATGTAATCTTTCAGGAATCTAAATTTCCTTACACCACTCTATTTTCTCCTTCATACTCCTCAGATCATCAATCTGCCTCCACTCATTCTACTGCACCTCTAAGTGTCTTTCCTCAAGCTCACTCACCATTCCTTAATCCAAGCCAATCTTCTTCAACTGATTTATCTCAATCTGATCCAACTTCAAATAAACATCCTCCTTCCACTGATTCATCCAAATCAAAACCCACTTCAAATACACCTTCTTCTTCCTCAACTGATTCATCCCCTTCAACTGATTCATCTCCTTCCACTGATTCATCCAAATCAAAACCCACTTCAAAGGACCAAACAGACGTGGGTTAGGGGAGTCAGAAGTGATATGTTTCTTCTTGGATTGGATGAGGGTGTGGCTTTGGAGAGAGCAAAAAGGAGGGCAGGTATTCGTGGGGAGGAGTGATCTTGTATCATCTTTTCCCCTCTTTTTTTTTTCTTTTTTTTTTATATTTTTTATCCTTATATATAAATATTACTTTATCCTTTTTATTTTATCTTTTATATGTATATTCATCTCTTTTATATTATCTTTTTTTATAATAGCTTATCTTTTTTATCTTTATTTTCTTTCTTTTCCTTTTGGTGATATCATGTATTGATTCATGTTAGCTGACCCCAATATCGTTTTGGACTAAGGCTTGGATGTTGTTGTTGTTGTTGTATCTCTGGACTAGAACTAGCTCTCACATTCTTAATGGCTCAAACCTAGTAGGAAAGCAATGTTTGAGGATACTTGGCCCAATGCACGATTGGAGAGAGAAAAGCATCATGTAGGCATAAGCAGAACTCCATTTGAACTCCACAACTAACAAGTATTCCCTCCATCCCACTAAATACTGACAGTTTACCTATTTCATTTGTCCCACAAAATTTTGACAACTCTACTTATTTGGCAATTCTAAAAATCTTTATCATTTCCATTTAAAGTAATATATATATATATATATGGTCAGAATTTTTTCTCTTTCCTCTGCATAAATCTCAACGAGACAATCTTTACTTTCTTATTCCACATACAAGTCAACTAAGATCAAGTTTTAGGGGACAGAGGGGGAATATAGTTGCCCTAGAAACTTTGTCACATCCCCTTTAAAATAATGATTGTGAGGATAATATTAATTTTCTCTATTTGGCCAAATTTTATGAACAGGGAGTAAATAGTGTACCGGAAAAGGTAAAACAAAGAACTCACCTCTGAATCCTGAAATCCCTCCTTATCTGTCTTTATAATTGATGCTGCAGCCGCCTTTCCTCCTACAGAGTCTTCAACTACACTATCACTGCACTAAACTATTATAGGTTAACAATCAAGGAAATGGAAACCTATTAGTTGTAACTACAATTATCTGCTTACCTATCAATATAGTAGTATCTGAGTGCATCCGCAAGATGCTTCCCCAAGTTGGATTTAACGGAGCTATTGATCCCTTTAAAAAAGAGTTGCAAAATATCACCCTCACTATCATCTACTTATCCCAGCTTTATTGAGTAGTTAGCATGAATTTTTATTGTCAAGAATCGTGATTCATTACAAGATTAGTATTGTAAAAATAAATTCAATTTGATATGATCGTGAAAGGGAAAAAACGCTGTTTCAAATGTAGTTGTGCTCACCAACAAGAAATAAAGAAGTTCCTTTCAAATCAAGCGATACCTCGGATGCCCTTTTCTGAATGAGAACTGAAGAGTTAAAAGCATTGCACTTCAAACAATAGAAAACAAAGGAGAACGGTACGCTTCACGTCCATTGATTTTAGGCGGAGAATCGTCTCACCTTCACTAGCAACGACACATCTGTATTTGCGTCCTTGGCTGCGGAATCAGGAAATTCAAGTGAAAGACTGTCTAACGGTAGATAGGCAGAAAAGAAAGGCAACCCAATGAAACGAAATCTGTTCCTGGATTTTCTCACCGGAATCTTTATCTTCAAGAAGTGCGCACGCAGTGGATTTCTGATGACGGAGTTTGGGCTTAGTGGGTAGGATTAAGTCAGTAGCTGGAGCACTTCTTCGAAATGGAGGATGATGAACAGAGAATGGCGGAAGCAATTTGAAGTTACAACCATGAAAACCGCCACAAGTTGCTCTGAAGATCTCCATTTTTAAGTCCTGCGAAGCTATAGAAGGAAACATGAGCCTGGCAGCCGACCTAGTTTGGATTTAGGGGTCTTTGGAACAGAATCAGAATCAGTTTTCCGAGGCTGGTACATCCCAACTTCAAAAAAAAACTGATTCTGAGAGTAAATTAGAGCAACAGAAGTGCTTCTAAAATTTCACTCAAACAATTCAGCTTCTGTTTCTGCTCCCTGAAGTAGCAGAATCAGTTTTGAGAATCATATCTGTGAACAAGTATGGTTGTATTTCATATACTTGATGATAAAGTGCTATACAAGATGCTATATTTATAGCTATATTTAGAGTACTAGGGTTTCCTATACAAGATATACAAATGGGCTAAGCCCAATACTACTAGGGTTTTCACACTCCCCTTCAAATTGGAGCATATAAATCATATGTACCAAGCTTGTTACAAATATATCCCACTCTAGGACCTCTGAGAGACTTAGTTAAAATATCTGCAAGTTGTTCAGTTGTGTTCACATATTTTGTGATGATATGTCCACTCGTGATCTTCTCTCGGATAAAATGACAATCAACTTCAATATGTTTCGTCCTCTCATGATATACCGGATTTGATGCAATGTGCATTGCAGCTTGATTATCACACATGAGTTGAACCGGTTTTGTGTTTCCATATTTTAACTCTTGGAGGAGATGCTTCAACCATAAGATTTCACATGTAGCAAGGGCCATTGCACGATATTCTGCTTCAGCACTAGATCTTGCAACCACATCCTGTTTCTTACTTTTCCATGAAATTAAGTTTCCACCAATCAAAATGCAATATCCCGATGTGGAACGTCTATCCATTAGACATCCGGCCCAGTCTGCATCACAGTATCCCAAAATATCGTGGTGGCCTCGATCTTCAAACAACAATCCTTGCCCTGGAGTTTTCTTGATGTATCTCAAAACTCGGATAGCTGCATCCCAGTGTGCAGTACATGGCTTATCAAGAAACTGACTAAGAACACTTACCGCAAATGAAATATCTGGCCTTGTAATGGCAAGATAATTCAATTTGCCGATGAGTCTTCTATATTTTTCTTTGTTGGGCAAAAGATCTCCCTGTTCTGATAAGAGTTTAACGTTCGGATCCATTGGTGTATCCACTGGCCTGCAATCTAGCAAACCTGTTTCCTCAAGAATATCGAAGGCATACTTTCTTTGTGATAGAGCAATTCCATCTTGAGACTGTGCGACCTCAATGCCAAGGAAGTATCTCAACTTTCCCAAGTCTTTTTGTTTGAAATTTGCTAAAGAGATGTTGCTTGAGGAGCACAATTCCTTGATCATCGCTACCTGTAATGACAATGTCATCAACATACACAACAAGATAAATACATTTGTTGTCAGCAGAATGTCTGTAGAATATAGAATGATCAACATCACTGCGAATCATGCCAAAGCTGCAGACAACGGCACTAAACCTCCCAAACCATGCACGTGGAGATTGCTTCAAGCCATACAATGAACGACGTAATCTGCACACCATACCAGACTCCCCCTGAGCAACAAACCCAGGTGGTTGCTCCATATAAACTTCCTCGTGCAGATCTCCGTGAAGGAATGCGTTTTTGATATCCAATTGGAACAATGGCCAACGACTCATTGCTGCCATGGATAAAACCAAACGAACTGATGCAATCTTCACTACAGGAGAAAAAGTGTCAGTGTAATCCAAACCATATATCTGAGTATACCCTTTCGCCACAAGGCGTGCTTTAAAACGATCAATCTCCCCATCAGGCCCAACTTTAACGGTGTAAATCCACCGACATCCCACCACTAATTTGCCAGCGGGAAGGGGGACTAAGTCCCACGTCCCACTAGAATGAACAGCCTCCATCTCAGCCAACATAGCTTTACGCCACTCTGGGTGTGCCAGTGCCTCATGTGTGGTTTTAGGAAGGCAGATATGAGATAGGTGGGAAATAAAAGCATAGTACGGGGTAGAGAGGCGGTGATAACTCAAAAAATTATATATGGGATGTGAATTCAGTGTAGAACGTGTACCTTTTCGGAGGGCAATGGGCAAATCATCCAAAGTGTTTTCAGGTGGTGCGGTAGTTGGTGATGATGATGCATGAACCGTCATAGGGGAATCAACTGGCATGGCCATGATAGGCTCAATGGCAGGAGGTCGAGGACGACGATGGTATACCTGTAATGGAGGAGGGTCTACCACAGGAGGGCTGTGCGGGTGCTCATCAGATGGAGGGGAAATAACTGTTTCTGTATGGATGGGCCGAAGATATGAGATGAAGTCCAAACATGATGGAGTATTAGCAGAAGATAATGGGTAATAAAAGGAGGACTCGATAAAAGTGACGTCAGCAGAAATAAAATGTTTCTTAAGTAATGGAGAATAACAACGATAACCCTTTTGGACTCGTGAATATCCAAGAAAAACGCATTTTATTGACCTAGCTGACATTTTAGATAATCCAGGTGTAAAATCATGGACAACACACACACACCCAAACACATGAGGTGGTAATGGAAATAACTCACGACTAGAAAACAAGACAGAATAAGGAATTTCATTATCAATAACTGAAGAAGGCATTCTATTTATTAAATAACATGCAGTGAGTACAGCGTCTGCCCAATACTGAGGTGGTGTATGTGAATGTAATAACAGAGTACGGGCAGTATCAACTAAGTGTCTGTTCTTGCGTTCAGCTACCCCATTTTGTTGAGGCGTGTGTACACAAGAAGACTGGTGAAGCATACCCTGTGATGTCATGAATTGATTAAAGGGTGCCGCAAAAAATTCTTTAGCATTATCACTGCGTAAAACTTTGATAGAATGACTAAACTGAGTGTGGATTTCGGCACAAAAAGTCTGAAAAATATGGAATAATTCAGAACGTTCTTTCATTAAAAACAACCATGTGTGACGGGAAAAGTCGTCCACAAAAATAACAAAATAGCGAAATCCTAAAGTAGAAGTGACTCGATACGGACCCCATACATCTGTATGAACTAAATCAAAGGGGGACGCAACCCGTTTATTGACCCGTCTTGGAAAGGATTTACGAGGTTGCTTTCCGAGATGACATGACTCACACTCTAAAGATGAAAGACTTGAGAAACCTGGAACCAGACGTCGAAACTTTGAGAGGCTAGGATGACCCAAACGATTATGTAAGGTAATGGCATGATCAACCGACACACAAGCAATTGGATCAGGAGGATGAAGATGATACAAGCCTTGAGATTCATGTCCGACGCCAATCGTTTTCCCCGTACAACGGTCCTGCACAATCACAGAATCAGCAAAAAAGGTTATAGAACCATTAAGAGCACGTGTAATTTTGCTAACAGAGACAAGGTTAAAAGGGCTATTGGGAACATATAAGACTGAGTCTAATGGTAAGGAAGAAAGTGGAAGTGCTTGCCCAATACCCGTGGCCGAAGTTTGAAGGCCATTAGCGAGAGTAATTAAAGGAAGATGTTGATGCTTGGTAATACGGGATAAAAGATGGGGATTACCAGAAATATGATCTGAGGCACCAGAGTCAAGAATCCATGAGCCTGTGGTGTTTGAAACACAAGCGGTAGACGTACCAGGTGTAGATTCAAGCATGTGACTCGACTTAAATTTCTGATATGTTGCATATTCAGCTGGAGATAGAACAACCGGAGATGGAGGGATCTGAGCAACATTGGCTGAGCTAGGAGGTCTCCCATGTAACTTCCAACACTTGTCTTTAGTATGACCAATCTTATGGCAGTAGTCACACTTAGGACGGTTTCGCCGCGGATATCCTTTGTGATTTTCTCCATCAGGACCTGAACCTTGGGATGCAAGAATGATAGAGTCGCTAGAGCCTGATTCAGCAGATATCGGGGCTGCGCGAAGAATTCGAGCAAAAGCATATGTCATAGTAGGAATAGTGGAACTAGAGAGAATCTGCTCTCGTATTGATAATAGTTCTGGACGAAGGCCTGCCAAGGCTAAAACCATAACCAATTGTTGTCGTTGTTCAAGTTATTTCTCTTTATCTTCCGTGATTGGCTGAATGGTATTATACTCAAATAGTAAAGCCTCAGCCCGTCCTAGAAAATCTTGAATATCTGAATCCTGTTGTTTGAGTGTGGCAATTTTGGAGCCGAAAGAAAACAGACTTTGAATATCGTTCGTGTAATTAGACTTGGCTTTTTCCCAAATCTGTTTACACGTTCGATAGGATTGATATGTGAGATGAAGTTTCGAATCCATTGACTGCCACAAGACATTGCACAACAGAGCATCCATATTCTCCCATTCGGTCTTCTTTTCTTGGACAGAACTAACATCTTTAATCAGGTGACCAATTTTCCTTTGACCTTTGAACCACATCTCCACGGAAATGGCTCATGATTGGTAATTAGCACTTCCAATTAATCGATCTGTAGTGATAATTGGAACAGAAGCAAACGAAGAAAAACCAGAAGACATCGTTTTTTTTTTCTTTTTTTTTTCTTTTTTTTTTGTCTTTTTTTTTTTTAACAAGAGCAGCAAAAAGTTAAATATTTAAAATAGTGCAACAGTAATTAATGTGGAGTAAAGCAGCTGTAAGAATTCCTCAGGCAACAGCAGTGAAGGATGAAGAATTCCCAGATTGGTTGAAGAACAGGAACTGTAGCTACAAAGGCATGAAGAAAACAGACCTCTATCTTTCTGGGGAGGTGCGGAAGATTGCTGGCGGGCGGCGTAGGACACAAGACGACGGCGTTCACAGCAATCGGCGGCGGCGGCGGCGGCAGTCGGCGGCGGCGGCGGCGGCAGTCGACGGCGGCAGTCGACGGCGGCGCGTGACTCGGTCGGCGGCGGCGTAACTTATGCCGTTCTGGTCGCCGGAAAGTCAGGAACTTCCAGTGGTTGGAGGTGTCAACGCCAGATAACTTGAAAGAGAAAGATCTGAGAAAATGTAAAACTGCAGTGCGGACTTTCAGCGGCGCGTGGATGATGCAGCGTAGGTGATTCTTCCGGCGGTAAGTCGCGATGAAGCGTTGAGCACAGTAGTAGGCTGATATCACTACTGAAAGCACTCA